CAGCGTCTTCACCAAACAGGACTATGTCATCTGCGTATTCTAAGTCGCTTAGTGGTCCCCCTGGTAGGAGATCAATTCCTGAAAATTCAGTCGATGAGAGTGTTATTTCCAGCAACAGGTCTATAATGAAGTTAAACAAAAATGGGGATAGTGGACAGCCTTGACGGACACCACTTGAGGTTGTAAAATCATATGACAGTTCGCCATAAGCTCTCACTCGACTAATAGTGTTCGAGTAAAGAGCCTTCAAAAGGTTTATGTACTTCTCAGGTACACCTTTCAATGACAGACACTGCCACAGAACCTCTCGGTCTACAGAGTCAAATGCTGCTTTCAAGTCAAGAAAAACTATCATTGTCGGACGCCGATAAGCGTGTCTGTGCTCTAAAACTTGACGAATGGTGAATATGTGGTCGATACAGCCACGACCAGGTCTGAAGCCAGCCTGATTTTCTCGTGTTTGCAGTTCACGAGTCTTAGTTAGGCGCCCGATAATTATTGAGGCTAGTATTTTAGATACTATGTTAGTCAGACTAATCCCTCTATGGTTATCGCAGGATGATTTTGACCCCTTTTTATATATTGGGACAATCAGTGATTGTGACCAGTCAGATGGGATTACATCCGTCTCCCAGATTTTAGCCAGAATATTAGTCAACCTAATCGCTAAAATTGGACCACCGTATTTAAAAACCTCTGGAACCAATCCATCAGGACCAGCTGCTCTTCCCCGTTTCAGATTACCTATAGCCTTTTGAACTTCAAGTAGGGTCGGGGGGCCTACTTCAATGTTCCATTCAGGTTTTCTGGGAATAGTGGGTAGTTGTGCAGTAGCTGAAGGCCAGCTAAACTGCTCCTTAAAGTGTTCCGCCCATCGTTCTAAACGTTTAGGTTGAGAGCAGATAAGGGTTCCGTCTTTTTCCGAGATTGTCTCACTTACACTTGACTTCTTAATTCCGGTTTCTTTTATTAGTCTGAATAGTTGCCTGGTGTTGCCTACAGCCGCTGCCTTTTCCATCTCTTTTGCTTTCGTTGCCCACCACTGCTCACGATCGTTCCTTAGGCTTTTAGTTAACCTAGATCTAATTTGTTTACGCTCTTCGTCATGTTCAGAGCCTGATGGGATGAGTTTACGCGAATCCATCAGTGAAATAGACTTAGAGGAAATCCACTGGTTTTTTGGAGACCTATGGTTTAAATGACTAATAGATGTTACTGCCGTTTCCACAGCTGTTCGTGTGTCTTTCCAAGCAGCATCTGGGTCAGTCTCGTTTACAGAACTGCCTAGATGTGAACTCAGTTGCTTCTGGAATTCGCACTTGGCTTTCTCGTCCTCCAGTTCAATCCTAATGGGTCTTCTTAGTGTACTTTTCCTGCGTCCATTGAGGCGCAGACAAATGCGTGCTCGTATTAAAGCGTGATCAGAGTCTAAACAAGTATTCCAATACGAGAGACAATCTTCTATTGAGCCTCTCCAACGATGACTGATGACAATATGGTCTATTTGAGTCCATCGTTGGTTTGGTGCAGGCGGTCGCTATGTTAGACGATGTCTCTCCTTATGTTTAAAATTAGTGCTTGCTAAAAATAAACGATTGTCTGAGCATAGTTGCAACAGACGATCACCATTATCGGTTCGTTGAGCCGGAATAATAAAACACCCACCTAAATGTCTTTCTGTTTGATTTAAGCTGCCTACCTGGGCATTAAAGTCACCAGCTATGAGTATTATGTCTGAGCGCTTAGCTTTCTGAAGAAGCTCAGAGAGTTTTCTGTAAAAGTCATCTTTTACTTCATCATGGCTGCAGTCAGTGGGAGCGTAGGCAGAAACGACGAAAAGGCAACGACGTGTGTCCCTATCCTTCCGAGTTCTTATGGAGCCATTTAGCCGGACAGCACACAGGCGACTGTTAACGGGGATCCATTCTAGTAGTGCCTGTTCTGCCCTTGTACTTAGTGCTATGCCTACACCTGCAAGTGCACGAGAACTAGCCAACGGGTCGCCAGATACACGGAGGGTGTATTTCGTCGGCTGTCCATTTTGGCGAGGTGAGGTCAAGTGAATGACCACACTGGGATCCTGTATGCGTGTTTCGGAGACACAGCATACATCAATGGTACGAAATTCTAGGGTTTTAGCTAAGGAGGCCTGTTGACCGATTTGGCATAGGGTACGTACGTTGAAGGCTCCAATGTGTAGTTTGGAGCAAGGTTTTAGTAGACCTGGGACAGCCTTTCGCGCACTAGAATCGTTGGCCATGGTGACACTTGAGGAGGAAACCGAGAGAGGAAGTTTAGTGTTGAAAGTCAAGGTAGAGGGAATAGTAGGAATTGAAGAAGAAGATTGATTATGAATACAGTGGTCTTGAGTGCTGTTAGAGGTATGAGGGCAGTTATCACTTCCCGGTTGCCCACACCGTGGGAGGATTCTTCTAGAGGTACCTGAAAAGGAAATTGGGTTAGGAGTGGTCTTAATGACCTGAGAGCGTGACCGCAGTGCCCAAGGGACAACTGCTTGAGGTCGGTCACACACGACCTTTTTGTGTTAGCTCAGTTCTTCAAAAAAAACCTTACCGCCGGAGACGGAAATCCGTGGGATAAGGCGAGGTGTGCATTTTTAGGGTCGACCTTTTCTAACCCCACCCCTCCTTGTGGGAAGGCAGCATCGCTGTCATGCTGGTTGTCTGAAGGAAACACCTTACTGCCGTCACACCTCTGTACAGTCAGCAGTACGACTTCGCCTTCGGACCTTGGGTTTGCTGCTTTTAGTCTCACCGCTCTTCAACCGACCTGTCTGGCATGGTAGGACCTCGAGGAACGACTGTTCCAGCCAGCATAGCTCGATTGCTTCATCACGATAGGCAAGCCCGACCACCACGTCAAGGTAGCAGCAACGATCGGGCCGATGGGGACTTGTTGGTCCCAGGACAGATAACGGGGACCGTTTGCTGCAACTGTGCACAGACCACAACCTGTTTCTGGCTAGCACTAACTTCCGGCACAGTCATCGCCGGTGTGCCACCTGGCGTCCTCCCTCTGCATCTCAAGCCTGGACTCAGATTGATCACGTCGCGATCAGCTACCGCTGGCGTGGTTGTGTACAAGACTGCCGCTCCTTTTGGAGTACCTATCTGGAGTCTGATCATGCCCTGGTCTGCGCCAATCTCACCTTACTTTTCAGTGGCCGAAGGATTGACCACCACCAACGGATTGATATTAGTAAACTGGCTGCAACTTCTGTTGCAAGTAAGTATCGAGCTGAGCTAGCCTCTAGGCTAGCTATCACCCCACCGAAAAGTATAGACGAGCATTGGTTGCATCTTCACGACGCCATGAAAATGGCGAGTAAAGCCGCTTGCGGCTTCGCGAAACGTCCCGCTTACAAGCACTGGGTTTCTTCTGGCTCCTTACAACTGATGGAAGCCCGTCGGTCTACTCCGGGTGACCGTGAGTTTTACCACAAACGAAGGCTGTTACGTAATGAAATCGGGCAAAGCTTGTGTAAGGACCGAGAAGCCTGGTGGTCGGAGCGTGCTAATGAGATGGAAGCAGCAGCTGCATCTGGTAACTGCCGGAAGCTCTTCCAACTCATCCGAGCCACTGGCAGCAAGAAGTCTGGTGTGAGTGAAACAATCTACGAGGATGACGGGATGCCAATCACTAACATCTCTCGACGTCTTGGACGATGGGCGGAGTTTTTCGAAGGGCAGTTCAACTGGCCTGCTGCTCCGGCAACATCAACCAGCTTGTCCTGCTCCCCATGGCCGGTGACGACTGATCCACCAAACGAGGCGGAAGTCCGCAAGGAACTCCAACTCTTGAAGCGCTACAAATCACCTGGCCCAGATGACTTACCTTCGGCTCTTTTTAAAGATGGTGGTGACTTTCTGGCTAAGGAACTGACGGTGTTGTTTGCAAAGGTTTGGGAGCAAGAAAGTATTCCAACATCATGGAGTGATGGTGCAACACAGTGGCTAGAGACGTTATCAGATATGGCTCACAATAGAAGCCAGTAGCGATCCTGCTGCAACCTTCTTTTACTTCCTACATAAAGAGTGGTTCTAACTTTCTTGACTGAAAGAGTCTTCTGGTTGTACATTTTAGTCCGCCTTATCTTTTCATCCCTTCTCTTCCTACTTTCATTATTTTGTGTGGCGCATATGTATCTGGTGCCCTTTTGTACCAATATATATGTGTTTAAATAAAATAAATACTGTATGGGGTGGAAACTTGGAGAACTACGAAAGCCATCATCCAAAAGATACAGGTGTTTATTACTAGTTGTATACGCAAGATACTTCGGATCTGATGGCCAGACAATATCATCAACATTCTACTGTGGGAGAGAACAAACCAGATTCAAGCAGAGAAAGGAATCAGCAAAATGCTCTGGAAGTGGATAGGAAACATATTGAGGAAAGCACTTAACTGTGTCACAAGGCACTCACATGGAATTCTGAAGGTCAAGGGAAAAGAAGAAGACCGAAGAACACATTACGCCGAGAAATGAAGACAGACATGGGAAGAATGAACAAAAGTTGGATAGATTTAGAAAAGAGGGCCTAGGACAGAGTGGGTTGGAGAATGGCGGTTGGCGACCTATGCTCGATTGGGAGTAACAGGCCTAGGTAAGTAAGTAATTATCTAGTGTGAAATGTGGCTCAATGCTTTGTGTATATAAACCAATGAGTATTTCGGTCAGTTGTTGGATTGCTGGGTTATTGCAATATACATATGGTAGGAGCTGGCTGTTGACTCTTCGGACTGAAGGCAAGGGACAGAGAAAAAGTTGTGGAGCCTAGCTGGCGTTGAGTCAAAGTTAACTATGCAGGTCAGAACGCATAATTAGTCAAGCCTAGAACGCTAGGCTGCAAACGAAATGGTAGGCGCAGGATAGAAGAAATTCTAATCAAAATTCTGATTGGTGACCTTGACTCTTCATATTGATTAGCCTCTTCAGTCATAACGAGGTTATTGTCAAAAACAGCAATCTAACTCACTTCCATACCAGCTGTTAAAGTACGCCCAGTTGCAACTGATGTCCACCAAACAGCACGACTTGATAACATCTCACTAAATAACTTCTTATTCATAGACAGATCATCACAGTTACACGAAGGTTTACGAATAACCAAAACTCCATTTGCTGGAGAAATATGGCAGGATATTATCTGTGGTGGTAGGGAAGATTCACTGGATCGACAGGAGTTGAATGAGTCAGTAATACCATTAAGTGTATATTCATATTTGTCGGGTGCGGAAGACGGACATTGTAATACTATTCCCCAATCCATAGTAAACCCACCGGACCCACAACTTGCAAAGGTAATTAATAAAAGTAGCTGAGATGAAGATGAATCAGGCATATCAGTATTATCGGATAATTTGAAATGCAGAGGATCGGTCCAATTTATCACAAGCGATTTGGGCAAAATACCACGCACATCCAGTAAAACAGTTATGGAGAATGGATCTTGTCGAAAACGAACTGGTGCTAAGCGTCTTCAAATGAAATTGGTAGAAAAATAAATCTAGTTAATTACTAAAAAATTACATAATTATCTATGTTTATAAAAGATTTTTAAATAGATAGTTTTGCAAATAAAAATTTGTAAAATTATCTTTAACAGATACAATCCTTCCAGACAGAAAATTCGATGTAATATCTTTAAACTCAATTAAAAATGATAGTCGTATCCATGTCATGATGAACAGTTTGAAAGTCTGAATAGAAACAAAATCTAAACTATGATTGTCACTTCATTAACATCTTGAAAAGGTTGATGCTTGCCCATACCTGGAAGTATGATGATTTCATATGATTACTAAATATATCTAGTTAACTTAGTTATTTCAAAATAGGTTTTATTCGCTTGACATTTTCCTGCTAACTTAGCTCGTATTAACGGTTCATAGATAGATGGTCTTAATTTCCTTGGTACAACAATAACAAATAAATTTAATAAATTCTGGCTCACATAATCAGTTTCGGATAAAAAGTAAGCTATATACACTAGAAATAGCATGTTGCGTTTATAAAACAGTTAAGTAAGACTTGAGTACATTCAATCTAACTAGTTCAGTGTCTGTTAGAATGTTATACTAAGGGGAAATGAAGACCTGATAACCAGTTCTACTAACATCTGTAAGTAATTTTCACACTCGCTGAGTATAGGAATACTACTTAGACTGTCACCTCCACACAGTTCAGGTGAATCCTTAGATAAGAAAACAGAAGTAATGTAATATACGTCAACGTTAATGTGAAGAATAGCTATAAACATCAAATTATGTTGGCTCTAATAAAGATGAATTATCTTCTCACCAACTTGTTCTTCATCTAGCTCGTATGATAAAAGTAGTTATGTATTACTAACAGTACGTAAGTAAATCTATAGTGAACGAAGACTAGGTGGGGATAACCAACTTATTAGTTAATACAAAACTACAGAATGTATTCGTAAAATACGAAAACCATACATTAAATACCTCATTTGCTCATCTTTCATCAGTAGTCTCATAAAAACTTCATCATTCCAACATTCCTGTTGTAATTACAATGACAGTTTGTTTACATTTCTGATTCTCTTCAATTCGATCTTCTCAAACTTTTGTTGCTAGGCATTTTACGTCTGACTGGTGTTACATACTACTTATGTCTGTCGACACAAGTAGTATACATCACGAAACGAGAGTGAAATACTAATTTTAATAATCCAAAAAGGTTTGTAATCGTTAAATACTTAGATCAATCAGATCTGTATACTGGTAGACGTGATAGTTTACTGAAATCTAAGTTTGCATAAAGTTTAATGAAATTTGTGGTAACTTCACAGCTGGTGGAATATATACATAAATTTTTGATTTATACAGGTTTAGAAACAACTACATTGAATGTATGTAGGACATATCGGTGATAAAAATGGCAATCATCTTCAACAGTACAAAAAATGAACAAACTTTCTTCTAGGAAAAATAGTCTTACAAGTTTTACGAACGCATTAATAACAGCATAAGTTTATTGAGTAAACACGAATACAAACTAATTTACTAAAACATTCTCTTCGAAGCTTTACGATATTTCGAGTTATTTGAAATGTTTAAAAAGACCATTAAACTGCTTTTGCTATATCTATGCATATGAAAAGTAACTTTATAACACTATAATCTAAATGATAACATATAGAAACTGGTTAAACTGTTCAAGAGATCGGAGTGGTGAAAAAATTGCGCTCAAAAATTGATCCATTGAAGTAAAACAAACTACAAGTGAATAGCAAGGATAAAATAGCAATCAAAAGTAGATGGAGTTTATGAGCTAACTGGAAATACAACCTAACAGTCTAAGCCTTATTAGGAAGAGGAAGCAAGAATTTCAAAACAGGAACAACTCTACTTAATAGTATAATCAAAATAACCACAGCGACAGAGAAACAACTCATTGAACAAGAGATAAGAAAATAATCCCAATTCCAACAACTGGATGTTAGCACCGAGTAAAATTATGAGCGTGAGTAAAATTTATTGAGATATTATCTAGGAAATATTAGTCAGAAACGCTTGAAGTTTTAAATACACTTCAAACAAGTAGTCAGCGTCTCTAAACATCATATCAAATTATTTTTTCAACCGCTTCTGGCCGGTCTCAAGAAGTTGTCCCGTGGGTTCTGTGGTCGTGCTTTCAAGTGACCAAGACCACTATTGATCCAGTTTTCCTTTGATGTACCTCAAAAAGAAGTATCCTCGTGTAGCGTAAAAATCACCCACAGGCCTTTAGAATCACTCGAGATCATTAAAAGTTATATTTTATGATGAGTGGAGCTCATTAGCAAAGTACATAAGCACGCAGTCGGCTTTGAGAACTAATAATACTTAAATTAACTGTTCAACCCACAGTAAATTACCCTGCTAGTCTAAAACTTAAAAGATGGAAGTCTAGTGCTTCAACTACTACATCACCTCATGTACACGTGAGTGAAGGTCGGATATATATAGTTTGTCACTACCAAAGTTATATTCACCTAGACAACAAACAAGAATAATTACATCCATGCTAATAATAATAATCGTAAAAAATTTTTCTTAATGCTACTCCAGAGATAGGATTAATTACCTATCTTTGGACAAAATCATTTCACAACTTGAAACCTGGTTTACTTTGATTTCAACGCCCGGGGAAGTTGGTAAACTGACAGCAGTAGATAATGATTGAGACTCTGTAATTCTGTTATCGTTTTCTATGTTTTTCTCAATTTCCGACAACTTTTCATCCGTATTTGTCAACTGCTCAGATTGTTTTTCTGTTTGTGTTACAGACTTATCAACGGCAACAACAGCAGATACGGGTAAGTCAAAATTAGGACATTTTGAAACTGAAGATCCACCATCAGATGAAGTATCCACTGAGCTTTCTGTAACAATGTTTGATCTAGTTCGTTGTTTCCGACGTTTTCGTCGTGCACGTTTTCGAGTTGCTGCACTTAATGTAACTGATTCATGATCAGAAGTGTTTGTTGTAGAACTGTATTCCACAGACTTTGTTTCGTTCTCTACATTTTTTTCGTCGTCAACATTTATAGTACTGTCAGTAGTTGATTCCACGTTTTTAACAATCGGTAGTGTGATGCATAGAGTGTGAGTAGATTTATCAAACTTTGCTGTCCCTTCAGCATCATTCACTTTATAGGGTAATTTCAGGTCAAGCAAATATGCAATTGGTTTTCGACTCTGCAAATTTATTTAAAAAAATGAAAAGACTACTTTAAAAAAGTGACATTATCCAGAATATGTAAACCGGAAAATTAATGAATAGTACAAACTAAGTTATGAAGATAAAATGGAACGATCAGTTAAATACAAGTTTATATATTAGGCTGCAAATCAAACATTTTTTGTGTATATTCGAGTTAAATTAACTGAGTATTTAGAAGTAGGTACAGTAATAAGATTTGAAAATATAACTTGATCCAAAACAGTCAATACTATGCTTTGGAAATTAACAAGGCATGGGGATGGACTGATGTTATGGACAATATTAGAACATGGAAATTCCCTAAACAAAGTCTACGAAATAATCCAGAGATAAAAATGAAGTCCCTTAAAATAAACAGACATTGATGAGGATTACTCCATCATCTACAACATAGGCCGTTAATTGTCATTTATACTATCTTAAAATATGATCAGTCTTTTTTGTCATATATGCGTATCGACTCGGCATAGTCATTTTATAACAAAGTTTTCAAAATCGATAGATTATGGCTAGCAGTGGAACCAAGAAAGTACATTTCATTTAGCTTGGGGACTTGTCATCAGGATTCACCGGTATCCTAGTGCTGGTTTCCACGTTGTGACTCGGATCCAAGACATCCAGATGATGAGTTCCAAATAAGACGAAATATGCAAACTGGATTTCACTATTCGCTACTGTCTATTCAATCTTAATGCTTACAGAGATTCTTTTAATCAGTAGTTTTTTCATAGAGCTACATTGGCTAGTGTATAACAGAAAACCAGGGATTACTGGACATTTGTACCGTAATATCTTGAGACTTATAACTCCAAACGGGACGGAAAGCAGAACTTTGAACTTTAAAGGGATGTGACAGTTTTGCAACTGAATCAGATATCAACACTACAATTAATGATTCTTGTAACAAAACGACTATTATTATCCATTTTTATCCGTAAGAATTTCCCTCCCCCTCCAAGAATGTGTTGATTTCGTAGGTGACAGATTCTGAGTGTCTATGGAAAATTATTTAATTTGAAATTAATTTTCATCATGGACTAATATCGTATGATCAGAAACTATTGGAATGTTTACAAATTTTAGTGAGAAGCTATAACTTTAGAAATTAGACCAGTTGAGAGAGAGAAGTGAAAGGTATCCGGCCACGATAAAATAATTTTCACAGCATATTATGAAACATATTGATAATTTATCGATTTATCATTGAGCTTTAGTTGTGAACAGAATACGTTTGGATCGATAATTTAAATCAATATTCTTTCTTATCATTTTTGCATTCCTAAATAACAATTTTTTTATAGAATTGAATAAAAGTCTCAGTATCATTGAGATTTCATTCCTTTTAGGAATATTTAAAGTAATTTTTATTCGGTGACTAATGGTTTATCAATATATACTTAAGCAGCAGATTTATTCATAAGAAATCAGTCAGTCAGTCACAACGTAGAACTTCGTACGTACGTACATCAGTTCGAGTTGCCATACCACATTAGCACAGAGATGCAACTACCGATTCAAATCCAATAGTGGTAGAAGTAGTAAGAGTATAAGCATTGTGTGAAAGATTAGGGTTTGAAGATGTTACTGAAAGAGTATAATACTGTGAAATAAATTTGGAGAGAGAAAAAAGATAGGGACAAGAAGAATTCAGAAGATTAGAATTTGGTAGAACACAAAGAGTGGATGCACCTTCGCCATTGCAAACGATTTTGAGCCATGTCATTCAAGGTCTCTAACCATCGGTTGCTATCATCTCGCGGATCCCAACCACGTAGTCTACACCTATCAACATGGCTCAGTTCACTTGTCAGCGATTTCATGGACTTGTGCCACTTTTGGTCTGGCCGCCCCTAGCTTTTTTTCCAACCTACTCCTACACCATAAAACATTGCACTTCGGGGCAGTCGGTGGTTGGGCATACGTAACACGTGTCCCAGACATCTCAACCGATGAAGTTTCACTACTTCATCAATTGATTATTCATAAGAAATAATAAGTTTTAAATAGATTGAATGTATCCTTATATTTTTATATAAATAGATGCTGGATTACAGCTTGGTAAATAAAACAGTGTTTAATTACCTAGATGAAGATAGTTTTGTATATACCGATAATACTTTGATAGGCCGCTTGTGTATATAAATGATCTCAAATTCCTAACGGCTCCACTTTACTCATTCAATGGTTATAACCAAAATATACTTGAAATACTGAATTCACCCCCCCCAAAAAAAATCAGACGGTATAGTTTCCAACAACTTGATACGAGTCATAATTAAATTAATGATATAAGAATTATTTATAAAGTAGTTGGGGGGTAAAACACAACTGGGTTTTAATTAAGCTGAAATGCATTCCAATACAACTAGTAATATTAAACATTTCTAAGGATCAAAGAGTTTTTAAAGAGTACCTGGAAATTTGCTGGTTTCCCAGTAAACTATTAGAAATGTTTCAACATTACTTAGTGAACACATTTTATATAATGATACAAGAGTATAGAGAGAATACATTGCAAAGTATTCAAGTATAAGTCATTCTGTGAATATCCTACAAATTTTGTTAGTGCACACAATTTTTCAGTAGTGCAATTGAGTGCCATTTACTTAACAATGATGTTAATATCTCAAAAACCTTCGAGACAATTCATAAACAAAGAAAGTCGAATTTGGTACGTTTTACTGAAGCAGTTACCGTAAGAAAACTAAAACCAAATATTTGTATCTAAAAAGACTCAGTTATTAGTTTTGCTTTGTCATGATGACTTCATTGATAAATGTTTATTAATAGTTGAATTCATGAGTTGATCCACGCAAGACCACAGTTGAAAACCTAGAAGCACTGGGCGGCTATTTCGTCCCAACATGGGATTCCTCAACAGTGCGCATCCACGATCGCGCACGTGGGACTCGAACTCAGGATCTTCGATTTCGCGCGTGAACGCCTAACCTCAAGATCACTGAGCCGGCATCCAACGGTGTTAATTGTCTGACTTCAATCGGTCCATCATTATGCGCAACCCTTCATCCATTGTCTGAGGTAGATGTCTGTCTCTATCCAACACCGATTGAACTCCACTGATCCAGTATAAATCGACTCGTGAATCCAACTATTAAAAATTACTACAATCTCCACAAACTCACATTCTAATGAAGATATTTATTAGGCAACTTTTTCTCTTCATAACGCTAATTGTTGACTCCAACTTATTTGTGTAGTTAAGATCATGAGTCAACTTATTTGATCGGTGCTCGGTTAGTCAACGTTATTTCATTTCATGTTTTAAGGATTGCATAAATATAACACCAATATTTCATTTAAACGCATAAATATTGATACAAAGAGGCACAAAAATATATATGTGCCACACATAATTTGTAAGGGCTCGGATACTCTTAGGGTGGCCACACTGAAACGAGCGGTTCTTTCAGTGGGCCGACTCCCAAACCTTGACGTACATGTCTAATTCCCAGGACATTAGGAGATGCGGTCTCATGGAAGCAAGTGGTGATCAGAAATAGGTTTATACGCTGTTTGTTTTCTCAGAATCTTGGGAGCCATGTCCACCAATAATTTGAGACTACGGTTTTCCAGCCCTTCATGCCCGCTAACTCCATCTAAGCACCGCATATTCCGATTCTACACAACTGTGGTCCATTACTTCCAGTTTTTATTTTAGAATATTTATATATTCATATAGTCCGTTAAACATATAAATATTCTATTAAAACCATGAACTGATGTAAGACCACCATCGAAGACCTGGAAGCACTGGACATCCAATTCGTTCTGGTACAGGACCACTCAGCAGTGTGTATTCTTACGCGCGGACCCGCAACTTTCAGATCACAACAACTTCAATAACCCTATACTTAAAATTATCATGTGCTTACTAGTGAATAGTTTCGAGAGGAAATTACCGAAGCTCCAGTGAGAAGCTGTTAATAATCGAGTTTAACCGTATTGAGTATAAGGTAGTTATCCATTAAACACCATGGAAGATGGTCGTTTAATGTCGTGGACTGATTAAAGTTAGAGATTAACTCTACTGGATCCCGGCTCAGTCGTCTAGAGGTTAAGCGTTCGCGCGTGACCGTATGTCCACCGTAGTGGACGCGCACCGATGAGGAGTCTGAAATTAAAATGAAACGGCAGTCCTATGCCTCTAGGTTTTTCGATGGTGGTCTAACTCAAACTGGTTTATGATGTTAATGAAATTCAATAATCTCCACAACCCCATATTAACTATAAATATTTGCATTTAAACGTCCCTTATAATTATTGCGTATTTATTGTTTGTTTTATTACTCTTCACTGATGAGAAATCCTTCGATATTATGGTATAAATTACATGCACTTATGATTAATACCATTATTTTTAAGTAGCCTATGAGAAACCGAGAGATAAAAATCCGCGTTATCCGCTACGTTCAGAGTTATTGATTTAGTCAGATTCTGTGAATGATCGGTTGGATAAATATAATTGCATCTGTATAGCTTCGGCTAATTATAGGTATAATTAATTTTTAATATAACATAGCTCAGTAATTCATTGGAAATTTCTGTATTCAACTCCTAGTCACTTTTTTATGTGACGTTTACTGATAATGTCCAGTAGCATTAACCGAATTAGATGAACCCGGTTTTTGATCTGTTACCTGGCGGTTGAAAATCAAATGATGTGACCAACAAACTAGCCCTCAAGTCATGCAAAAAAGTTATATACATTCAACTTTTTATTGCGCAACATTTATACAAGATAAGCACTGAAATACTTAAGACAGAAAAATACGCGTAGAAAAGAGAAGAAAATAGATGCAGTAAAAATTATTTGAAAATAATTAAACTTATAAAACTTACACTCAAATGTATGTGCATTTCTGTCACTTCCAAGTCAACACATGAAGATGAACTTAAACCAGGCAATTTAACATTGATTTTTAAACGATCCGGTGGACGTAAAGGATTCACATCATTAGAATATCGACAGTTACTTAGGTCAAAATCTGAACTGTAGGTTATAGAATAATCAGGTTTAGTAGGTGTACTTATTTCATCCAATTTGACAGTCTCTAGAATTAGAACAGAAACAACATAATAAACATACACTGCACCACAAAATGTAACTTGTTCACGTTCACAGATAGTTTGTGGCAGTGTTTATGCTTTTTAAATTTTTGAAACTTCAGTGATGATTTTCAGTGCGTATTTAGTAATGATGTAAATATGTTTTTTATCGAAGGGTGACCAAACCAAGATGTGGAATCAGTTGATGAAGTCACTGACTGTTGGTATGAACCATATTGATAAATGAAGACTACCTGGTTGGGGTCTATGTGATTATCACGATCAGTGATTTGAAGACTCTGGGTAACATGGCTCAAAATTGTTTGCAATGTTGCAGACGTATTCACTCTTTATTTTCCTCTCGATCTTGAATTCCAGTGTCTTTTCATACATGCCTTTTCAATCTGTCTTCTCAACACATTCCCAATTTTTAATCTTTTTCCTTATAATCGCTACTAAATTATTTCGGTCTGTTATTTTCATCTCGTCATACTAATCGGGTATGGCAACCTTGGAAAAAACAGATCTGTGCCAAACTTTATGTTGATAATGTCTATCGGTCTAGTATGAAGAAACCAGCCCTTTCACCTTTAACCCGTGTAGTCGGTTAAAAAAAGTTTCCAGTTACTAAATCTTTGACCTAGTGGGGAGAAACTTTGTTAATATCAGACGAAAATAGTAAATTACTTTAATCTTAAGTTAGACACTTAAAATGATTAAAAGTTAGCGACAGAAAGTAAAAGTTGATCGATATAAGACTATTAGAATTATTATATTTTGAAATGAAAATATTTGAAATATATAAGAGATGTTGGTTAGCAAAACTGGTTATGGAAAGATATACAATGAGTTATTTGTTATAAATTTCTTACTTTGGATTATTTTGCTTTGCGTCTAAATGCTTTTAATCTAAACTTCACAGTATTTGAAGTCATAAACACTTGTTTATGAATAAAACTAACCTCAGACGGAAATATTTTCCAATAGGAGAGTCATCGTTAACACAATAAACATTCAGGAATTATTTCGTTATTAGCGGCTGTTATGAACAATCAATGAAAGATAACTAATTTTCCCGCAGTACTGTTTTGGACACGAATGACATGTTGATCTAAGCACACGCTCTTGAGCTTACATTTGTGTAACCAGAGATACTTATTAGACTATGGAAGGGATACCTATTTTTATCCAACCCAGAGTTGTCTCCAGTCTGCTTCAGAAACAGTGGTAAAGATAATCAGTGACTTACATCTAAATATCGCTAAAGTTCAGGTAATAAATTTCCCACAGTTGACGTCACGAGTCGATTTATGCAAAACCACCGTTGAAAACCTAGAAGCACTGGGCGGCTATTTCGTCCCAACATGGGATTCCTCAACAGTGCGCATCCACGATCGCGCACGTGGGATTCGAACTCAGGATATTCGATTTCGCGCGCGAACGCTTAACCTCAAGATCACTGAGCCGGCATTCAACTGTGTTAATATCTGACTTCAATCGGTCCATCATCATGCGTAACCCTTCATCAATTGACTGAGATGGATAACTGTCTCATACTCGATCCCACTGGTCACGGCTTCTCACTGAAGCTGCAGAAGTTACATCTTGAACCTAGTCACTAGTAAGCACATGGTTGTTATCATCTTTGGGGATTTTAGTGTTTCCACAGTCGAAAGATCATGAATCAATTGGAGTTAGACATGAATACCGTTGAATGCCGGCTAAGTGATCTTGGGGTTAAGCGTTCGCGCTCGAAATCGAAGATCCTGAGTTCGAGTCCCATGTGAGTGATCATCGATGAGCACTGCTGAGAAATCGCATATTGGAACGAGATGGCCGTCCAGTGCTCTCAGGGCACTACAAAATAAAGACGTGGACTCAGCCCTAAGGCTGAACAGAACACTTTAGGCAACGATATAACTTACTCCTGACTATTCTTTCAAGTAACCCATCATCTAAAATATACTTTGGAAAAACACCTCACAACTTTCAACAAGTATTGAAGATGAAAATGAAACCTTAAGTGGTATTAAGCATCAATTCGTGGGAGATTGTAGATGTTTTAAAAATTAACAGAAACTGTGAGTCAGACTTCTGTGTAGGCTAGCATGTTGATATTAGAGAGAACCCTATAAAATTTGAGACTGACATCTATCAAGCGTATGTTCCGAAAGGTAGCTTATTCTCGTTTTTTAAGGACTACTCACATAGGTATATCACTGATTAGTGAAATAAGCACTATAGCTCGTTTCGATGACTAATACAACGAATTGAAGTCTGAAAACATTTAGTAACGACGTAAGATGATGCTTCATAGCTGATCAGTCTAGGTTGACTAAAGAGAGTAAACTATTTGAGTACGTCGACCACTTTAACTATCCTGAAAGTCAGTCACAACGTAGAAACTAGTAAGTATGTATATCGGTCCAATTTTCTATACCCCATTAGCACAGAGAGATGAAATATTCAGGCCAAATCCTATAGCCATCAAAAATACGATCGGAGAGAACATGAACTAGTGAAATAAAAAAAGTAGAGATGAATTTAGAATTCCAGGGAAGAAAAATTATGGATGCACCTGCGCAATTGCAAACGGTTTAGAGCCATATTTTTCATAGTCTCCAACCATTGGTTTCGATAATCACAAGGACCCTAAAGAGGTAGCCTAAACCTATTAACATGACTAAATCTAACTGTCAGTGACTTCATGGAATGATCCTATGATTTTGTTCGGCCACCCATGAGTTCCTACACCAGAAAACATAACCCTTCGTGGTAGGCGGTTGCTGGGTATATGCTGCACGTCCTAACCACCTCAGTTGATGAATATTTACTGCCTCATCAATCGATTTTCAATCATTACCTAATACTCCATTCCTAACCCATGCATTGCTTACTCCGTAGTCCCAAAATACACGAGCAGTGCTTCGTAGACACTTGTGACCGAATACCTGCGACCTACGAATAACCTCTACTACTATTAATGACTGTTTCGCATCCGTAAAGTGAAACGGAACGACCTGCTGCACAGTAGACTCGCCCTTTGGTTAGCAGACAGGTATCTCACACCACTTGACGCAAGTTGGCAAAAACCAATAGCGCCTTCTGAATCCATGCCGAGATTTTGTCGGGCACCAGACCATAATTACTGGTGAGAATCCCAAGTGAAATAGCCGACGTGTCCAACTACTTTATTCTCTATCACTAATTGAGACAATGACCCAAACAAATCCTGAAGTAAGATTTTAAATTTGGAAGGAGACAGCCGCATCCCAAACATGCTTGGATTGTTTCTTAAGGTTGTCAGAAGACCGAATTTTGTAAGCATATTCACCAAAGCTATATCGTCTGTGTAACCTAAGTCAAGTGAATTAACTGGTAGATCAATTGAAAAGTCAGATGATGAGTGTGATCTCTAAAAGTATGTTTATGTCAAAGTTAAGTAAAAATGGGGAAAACAGACAACCCTGACGAACACCACTTGAAGTAACAAATTTAGATGACTGTTCACTATAAGTTCTGACTCCACCAGTAATGTTCAAGCGGAGAGTCTGTACAAGGTTAATGTACTTTTTGGTACACCTCTCAATGAGACACTATCACAGAAACTGATGATCATCAATGTTCGACTCCGTTGGTTGTGAGAAAGCCTTACTAACATTTTAAAAATTCCAGAACGAATAAAAGAAAGCTTGCCCGACCTCCTAGGATGGAGTTTGATACAGTTGTAGTCTACGGTTTGAAAACTTCGCTGACGTAGCTATGAATTAGTGATAGTGGTGCAGATGCATTCAATATTTATCTATTTTTAAGTATTGAGATTATTACTACTCTATACCACTCACTAATAGATAAAATCGCCCAATGTACTACGCTACCTAGCGTTTCATAAACCGAATAGGCCTAGGTCATAAGGTTTACATATTTGTGTATATTATATTGTTCTATTAATTCAGGCGTTTGGTTCTTAATCATTGACGTATTCTTCAGTGCATAGTCAAAGAACATTTTACTAAAAAATGAATTACGGATCTGAACAAATAAAAGGTGAACCTTCAACTACAAAACAAGGCTTCTAAAATTTAAGAACTTACCCTCGTTCTTACGGGTCCCGTTGGATAAACCCTCAGGATTACCACAATTACGAAATGAGGATAACATCTTGATTGCTTGCTTTTGTTCTGCAGAACTACACAACTTTAAGTCTTCAGCTTCCCGCTTTTTTATCTCAGCTTGGCGTTGTTCGTAATCTGAACGACGACGCCTGATTACTGTCGGTGTAGACACGCCTTTGTAAGACACACCTTTCAAGAGATGTACAGCCTTGATTAGATAGTCCTCACTAACGGAATCAGTAGATGTCCCATTTCGAGAATGATTTGACTCCCTATCTTTTCTACAACTGAATAACTGTTGTGCTTGTGAGAATGTTTTTCCAAAGTACAAATTATACTGCTTCTGCACACCCTCAACTGCTGTTGTATCTAACAATCTTCTAAAAGCAGTGGATGACTTAGCTAGCTCGAATGCTTTTGGATTGAATGCCACATCATAAACCTAGTTAATAGTAAACGTAAAAATCACGAAAGTTAAAAATGCTATCGAATATTGTTTTTTTAAAGAAAGCTAAGTACTATATGAACGAACTTACCATTGCATGCTTTTTCGCTTTGTCAATATCTTCACGTGGTGGAGTGAAGCAATGAGGAAGACTCCAATAAACACCATTCTCTCCTTGTCTAGAAGAATCGTTTTTCATTGATTTCATTTCTGGACATTCTACTTTGTCAGATTTGCAGACATTTATGAAAACCTTCACACTTTCTTGGGTCGATTCATCTTTTGCACTTGAAGTGATTCCACTTTCGGGACACTGAGAAACGCCTGGCCAATGACGCGTTTTTAAACAGTGTCCTGGAGTAGGATTGACAAATACTACATCCATCCCTTGCTCTAATTCCATCATTCGTATCTCGTCTTCATATCTAAAAGATTAAAAATGTGGAGAGGATTAGTCGAGTATCGTTAGAACCACAGTTTTAATTGTCAGTTGCTTGAAAACCCGTGTTAAATAAATTGAATAGACTATACTACTTGATTCAGTTGGGCACTACGATCACGCTCCCAGGTTGTTAAGACCAACACTAATCCAATTTTCTTTTCAGGTCCCTCAAGAAATACCCTTCCACGGTGTGGGCAGCCGGGAAGTGATATTAGCCCTCATACCCGTAACTGCACACGAGGCCAAGTTGGTCACATTCAAATCCTTCCTAGAATATCATTACCACTATGTGACAAGAACCATACCACCACTGAGGGTTATACGGTATTTAGAGACAGGAAAAAGCAGGAGTTACCTACTTTTTTCCGATTGAAAAGAGGGTCGTTTGTTTAACATCACTTAGAATGCGACAGAAGACACTTCGACAACAATCACTTACATTTGAGGTGGGGACACCTCCAATATTTAGTAAATCGACGGCATAATTTCATTTCAGAATAACATTGTGACCGACACATTCTAGGATATAAAATGGTGTGTGTCAAATGAACTGCTGATATGATTTAATCCGACGTGCTGACCAATAAAGTATTTTTCTGAAAATATTTGAGATCGGCGATTATTCATATGGTACAACGTAAGTATATATTACGTAAGATTGAAACAGATAAGATAGGACACTGAGCACAGCGAATGAGACTGATCAGTAGAGCTGGATTATTGGCTCAGGGAGAGCAATCTTAGGACCATATATGTACTGTTACACCAGCTTTTAGATGTCAGTAAAATATTCCTATGTTTAGACAAAACCAACAAATGGACAAACCATGACTTGCTTGTATCGAATGCTCGTAAGTACGAAATGTTAATAGAGATTAGCAACGACAAAATGAACTATTATTTTTTGCTCCAAAGATGAAAAATGACCTGGAAATCATGTTACTTTTCAGTCTTTCGTTATTAGTGTTCTTCATTCCATAAAGAATATCCAGCTGTTTTGTTCCTCCCCAATCTCCCTATTTTGACATTTTCACCAAAGTTCAGTATTTCTCCCAAATGTTTCCCCGAACTTTTCTATAGCGGTTTCTCCAAAATTCCACGAAAACGGAAAAAGTTTTACCCAACATTGGAAGACTGGTTCTTGGGAAAATTTAGCAGCTCAACAAATTCATAACAAGTAACCGATCGCAGTAAGCACACAATACTCTGCCTGTCACGTTGGCAATTTTGATACCCAATTGAGGCGAGTTAAGAGAGAAGCAATAAATACTTAAAAATATGCGGTCTTTTGATGACAGTGTCAACCATCAAATAAAGCTCAAAGAAAGCATACTTTTTCTTGTTAGCAGGATCTGATATTTCTTCCGCATATTCTCTGAATAGTTTCTGAAATTCAGGGTCCTTAAATGCTTTTTTCAGCTTGGTAACCTCATCTGGTGTCAGATTTAAATCCCCAGAGTCGCACATCAGCAGCTACCCGCGAATAAAGAAGATGCTACATAGCCTTGACAACAAACTTTCCGTTGTAGAATAAAACAATTAATTTTTAAAAACTTTTTAGAAAGAATACCGCTTCGAAGATGAATAAATTTTCAAAGTAAATAGGTATAAGATTTGGTTGCTGCTTCCATTAGCTTTGATGAAGTTGTATAGCTGCGTTTTTGAACAAGCATCGTTCCCACTTAACTGAGTTGGATGTAAAAATTACTAATTCATGGCTGATTCGCTAATAGTTATTGCCACTACTCAGATTCTTAGAAATTTCATTTAAATTGTGTTATTATTGTTATAGATCATAGAAGTTGTTCATTGGTTTCTGTGTGTTTATTTATACACCACTTTCTACTTAATTACCTACTTACGCCTGTTACTCCTAATGGAGCGTAGGTCGTCGACCAGCATTCTCCAAACCTCTGAATCGATCAATCAATGCATTCTTCACAAGCCACATTTTCACCCTGTCACTTATGCGCTTATAAACCTTGGCTGTTTAATGTATGTGTATGCATTTCTCATCTTACTCATCACATGTCTGTAACTTATTTTTGTTCGGCTATAAATATCGATTACAGCTTGATGAAATCGGGTTGGCTAACACACCTTCTCCACTGAACGTCATTTCGTTTCGCTCTCTTCTCTTTGCTTCCTTCTCTCCTTCTTTTAGCTCTCATTACTCCAACATAACCACTTTTATCTGCATTATCACTATGGTAACTATAACATCTTTTCTATTGTGCGTTATTACTTTCCAACATATAAATGCACGTCAATCTTAATTAGGTTTACTCATATACATTGTATCTTGTTCCTCTCATTATTTTTGTTTTTTATTGTCATTGTGATTTTATATATGTTCCGAACATTTATTTAAAATTCACACGTGGATGTTAAAAAAGTTGTTAATAATTATATTACTTACTTACGTATGTTACTCGCAACGGAGCATAGGCCGCAAACCAGCATTCTCAAACCCTCTCTGTCCTGAGCCTTCCTTTCTAGTTCTATCCAGTTGTTGTTCATTCTTCTCATGTCTGTCTCCATTTCTCGGTGTAACGTGTCCTTTGGTCTTCCTCTCCTCCTTTGGCCTTCAGGATTACATGTGAGGGCTTGCCTCGCGACGCAGTTGGGTGCTTTTCTCAATGTGTTTCCTATGCACTTCCAGAGCTTTTAGCTGATTCCTTCCTTTGCTGAATTCTGGTTTGTTCTCTCTCACAGTAGGTTGTTGCTGATAGTGTGTGGTCAACGAATCCGAAGTATTTTGAGTAGAAAGCTGTTAATAAACACCTGCATCTTTGGGATGATGGCTTTCATAGTTCTCCAAGTTTCCAACTCATGCAGTAGACCTGTCTTGACATTTGTGTACAAAACTCAGACTGTTGTGTTGTTTGACAGCTGTTTTGAGTTTCAGATGTTCATCAGTTGTAAATATGCTGTTCTTGCTTTGCTAATTCGCGCTTTTGCATCTGCATCAGATCCACCATATTCTTCAATTATGCTAGACAGATATGTAAAGATTTTTAAGTCCTCCAAAGCTTCTCCGTCAAGTGTAATTCAATTGGTGAATGTTGTGTTGCATCGAAGAGTCTTGTTTTTCCCTTTGTTTATATTGCGACCTACTGCTACTGAGACTGCTGCTACATTGATCGTCTTCTCCTGCATTTGTTGTTGCCTGTGTGATAGAAGTGTCAGATCATCTGCGAAGTCTAAATTGTCTAGCTGCATCCTAGCTGTCGATTGTATTCCGTGCTTCTCTCCAGATATTGTCATTTTCATAATCCAGTCGATCACCAGGGGGAGGAGAAAGGGTGAGGATGAGCAACCTTGTCTGATACCGAGTCAGTGAGTTCTCCTCCATACCCGATTTTGTAGTTTAATCCACCATAAGAATTCCACATGTTTCTTTTTTCCTGTGTCGGGTTTTCTAACCGTTTGAACTTCTCTTGTCTTGTCCACATCGTATTGATTATTTTAGTCATCCAAAATCGTCGGCACACTCGACTATTGTTCCTCTTCCCTGTTGAAGGAAATACTATGTGTGACGATTGCATGAGATAGATTCAAAAGTGTGTAACAATTTTTAGCCTGCCACGCACTTACGTTACCGTTAAACGACCTTACCGCAGTTATGTAGAGACTTTTGACTTACTGAATAGATTCAACTAAATGAAGCCTTGAAACTTCTTGCTAGGATGAAGAAGTTACCGAGTGGCGATGTCCTCAAAGTAAGGCTTACATCAAAAGAAGAGGAAACAACAACAGCGTTGGTTAATGCTGTTAGCTTTAATTTTACCCTTAATCAACAATCTATTACTCCAATCGTCGATGCACACAGAGATGAGACAACCATTGTACACATCATTGTTACACATAACCATTATTAGTCCCGCAACGTCGGGACAAGGAAGCTAATGTACAATGGCAGTACCCCTACTCCAAACACTGTGAGGTGAAAGTAATTATACGATATGCAGAGAACAAAACTATCTCACAAAAAATTTTGATATTATCAATCAACAGATTCGTTCAAAATCCAAGGCCAGAAGTACCACTAAAGAAAATATCACAGTCGTTGACGGGAAGAAAATGATAATACAAACGAAGGAAGTAAACACGACTTTGGACGGGGTCGAATCCGTTCCTGTACTACTTTTTTGAAGTCTCTAGAATTCAGAAGAAAATGGTCCTGATAAAAAGCATACATATGATCTAGAATCTGACGTCAGACGTGTACTACCAGAAACGATGTCAGGAGTATATACCGCTACAGGAATAATACTAGGTAAGTGGGTTGGAGGTGAGAACCAAAAAAGGATTTCGAAGCTAACACTCGGGAGTCACGAAGACACACCATACTAAATGACGTATACAAACCTTGTATCCGACCAGATTGATCACTTGAGGATCGAATGAAGTGGCAGAATGTCCTTACAAATTTAAAGACTTGAAAGCTAGCTGATGAAACGCAACTTGATATTCAGGGTTTCCTGGTAGTATTGTAGTGAACAGAACACGACTGGGGGACAATCGAATGTATGTATTTAAGCAAAGATTACAGACTATCTCAGTAAATTCTGAAAGCCATACAATGTACAGTCAATTTACAAATTAACAACCAATAGTCTCGATCTTCACTGTTTCTTCTCTAATTCCATTGTTCGTGCATTTTCCTACCGATTGCGCTTCGTTTCAGTTCTTTCGTCATCGGTCTTCTGCCAAAATACATTCTATGTCTGACCAACACCATATACTACTTATATGGATGTAAGTAGATCACACCACAGTATGACCTTGGAAGCCAAAGCTTCTGAGACCTGTACGGGTAGAACAAGTGATCCTGCAAAAATCACAATCACTAAAAGTCCTTGGAACGAAATTTCTAAACTAGGTTTGAAGGTGAATGAATGAAGTCCTGATATAGTTGTTGTCACGAAAACATGGCCCGTAGATTTGGAAAATTCTCCAACCATTTCAGGATATATCTGTATCAAAAGCGATAGAATTATAGATCACAAGGGAGGAGGCATAATGTCAAACGTTAAAGATCACTTCCGTGTACAATGGACAACATCAGGTGTGCCTGATAGTGTTGTATGTGAAGTAGCTTGTTGTACAATTAAGTCTAAACACGGATTCGTGGCTATAGGAGGAATATACCGACGTCTACGTTAAATTATCAACCACTTTATCTTAAGCCATATCTGTACTTCGAGTGAGGCTGAATGTGTTGTTGGTGATCTCAACATACCACACATTGAATAGAGCCTGTAACACAAGGCTAGGTTGCAAGTTGTCAACCATAGTTCTGTGTTCACTGGTATAATGTATTGCAAAGCTGACACAAGTATCGTCATTACTAGTTCATGTTTTTGTAACAGCGTTGGTTCCCAAACGCACGATCTTTGAAGCCGAACATACTATGACTGAGAAGATATGAATTTAAAATTTATCACAATAGAAAAGTTCAGAAACGGTAAACACACGATTGGTCAATCAGTTATAGCAGTACTGCTTAGGTACAAATATCACCCAAAATTAGGGTGTCTGATTAAAAAGTTGGCTTTTAAATTTGTAATGATTTTTGTGGTTATCATTTGCGTAAATGGGCTTTTTATTACTTTACTTTATAGTCCCACTACTAATGGAACCCTTCCAAATAATCTATTTGGCACCAATGATGCAGGAATGTTAGGGAATGCTTCTGAAGCCCTGTCAGTCTATACAAATCTTGGCAGGATATCGAACCACAAGTAAACACCATAATTGTGAAAGATTATCCTGGTTGGCACTACCTTCCTACCACTTTGCCTCCTAAAACAAATGGTGGCTCGAAACCCTAATGACCAAATCTGTTTAATTGTAACGAAATTGTCTCATTCCTCCTGCCTTTCGGATAAGAATACTGACTACCAATGATGCGAAACACACGTTAATGGAACCAGTAAATGGTCAGCATATATTGAGCAGTCTTTGTTTCATTGGGAGGTCACTCCATAACGTTAAGCGTTTTTGCTCTGACAATAAGAGCTGTTCCATATTGGTTTCATTGGGTCCCTGAGTAAGGAAACAGAACGTTCATAAATCCATCCACCTTCAACATTCCCCGCTTAATTTATATTTCTGGTCTGACTAGCTGGTCAGGTTATAAAATACAGAGACTATGGTCTCGCTAATGAGACACACTATACAGGAAAAAATCCAGTGTGGTCGGTTCCCACGAAACTGGCCAACGCACATTGGACAACAATCTGCTAAAGACCCGAAACATAGATACCATTGTAGGGGGAGCACCAGGTGATATGATGAACTATCAGGAGCCTATTCAGCAACCTATGAGGACTAAGAGATAAAATTGGAGGAATCAGAAACATTTTTTAAGTTAGATGTAAAGATCAGAGACCGAAATGAAACTAGGTTATCGCTCGATATCATGAATGGAGAAGTGAAATGCAAGACATGACACTTTTCAG